GAATGCTATTTTCGTGTGAAAATTCTCGATTTTATTATTTATATTATATTTAACTTTATAATGCTATAACTTATTGAAAAGTTTATGGATCCACACAATTTTTTTATGAGAAATAATATTTTTTAATAAACCCTTTTTCATTCGACATACTTTATCTTAATCGAAATATTAATAAGGAACCAGCAGATCAAGTAGCTTTTGGAATAAAACACCAATTTTTTTAAAATTAAACACTATCTAAAGATTTGCATCGAAGCGTTTATTTTTGATAGTGATTTTAATCACTGTCAGATATCATTATACTTGATCCAACTATGCCACGTCACTACTGTGCCGCGACCCCCCTGTGCTGGGTTTTTTTTCAATATACGGTTTCGCTGCGATAATTATAACGAGATGGCTAAGTTATCCTATTATATTCGTATTTAGAGATTTTTGTAAGTGGGTCAAGATAGGTTTAAGAACAAAGATTAATGGGGAGATTCGACCCTTGACTACCTTCCACTACATTAATAATTCTAAATATATTTCAACATAAGTATTTGGTAAACTTATGGTGTGATTTGTATGTATATTAGTGGAAATTAAAAATGTTTTGATATATTCACTTCAAACAAATCTAATACATCATGTATTATACATGATGTATAATTAAAAAGTTTTAGCAAGTCTTTTTGATTTTTAAGTAATATAAAAAACTAAATCAGGCATAATTTATTATTTATAATGTTATAATAAATTAATAATATTTAGTGACATTTAAATGTCGGAATGTGATTATTATGAATGAAATTATTATTGGTATTAACATTTTACTTTTACATATAACTGAATTAACACACAGTTTTTATTTCATTAAGTGGACGAACGTATGAATATTGATCAATTTAAGAAACAAGCATTGGTGTTTGTCACAAAAATTGAGCAAATAATTTATGAAATTTATCTTAGCTGTTGTGACAATAATGAAACTACGACTCCAGTACAAATATACTGTGTTCTTACATCATTAGAATTCGAAATCACTTATGAAGAAGTTACTATATCAACATCTGCCTGTAATGTTCACGACTCATTAAAAATCACCCATTTAGGTAAAATGAATATTACGTATAATTTTATCTTCGATTATAATTTTATAACTTATTGAAAAATGTATGGACCAATAAAATTTTTTAGCTTCGATGCGAAGCTGAGAAAGTATTAATTTTACTATGATGTGTTTTAGCTTCGATGCGAAGCTGAGAAGGTATTAATTTTACTATGATGTGTTTTTTTATTTTTTTTTTTGTGTCTGTGAACGCTCAATCTCAGCTCTCGCTGGACCGATTTTGATGAACAATATGTCAAAAGATCACAAATCGTATCTAGTCGAAGACATTATCCTCAAAAATTGAAAAAAAATCCCTCGTTCCCCGTAAACGGGGGAAATCCCCCAAAAAATTACAAATTTAAAAATCGCTAATTTTCGATATTTTTTCAATTTTTTTTACTTAAAATTGCTATAACTTTTTTAAAAATGACCGAATCAATATAATTTTTTTTTTTATAGATACCTTAGATAATTACCTATCATTTTATATATTTTTGTGAACATTTGACCCTTTAACAGCCCAAAGGATGGGGTTTCAAAATGGTAACTTTTTTACAAAAAATTAACTTTTTCAACTTAACTTTTGAAAATGTTCCGGAAAGACTGACAATTTTATATATACCTTAAATTAAAGCTAATGTAATATACTTTAATTTGAAAAAAAAAAATTTGACCTCTGGACTTGTCTTCATGGTGAAAATGACTACCGTATGCAAAAATATGCTATTTTTGTGAAAAAATTCTTGATATTATATTTTACATTTTTTAACATTATGTTGCTATAACTTTTTAAAAAATGCATGAATCAACTTTATTCTTTAATGATAAATACTTTATATATACTTCTTTCATTCGACATACTTTTTTTTAAAATCGGACCATTTCTACAGCCCAAAGGAAGGGTTTCAAAATGGTAGCTTTTTTTCAAAAAATTAACTTTTTCAACTTAACTTTTGAAAATGTTCCGGAAAGACTGACACTTTTATATATATCTTAAATTAAAGCTTATGTAATATACTTTAATTTGAAAAAAAAAAATTTGACCTCTGGACTTGTCTTCGTGGTGAAAACGGACATCAAAGTTAAAGAAAAACGTACGATTTCCGTGAAAAAATTCTCGATTTTATATGTTATATTACTTAATTTATATTTTATATAACTTTTGGAAAAATGTATGGATCAATATTATTATTTTTTTATAATAAATATTTATATACCCCTTTCATCTGGCATGCTTTTTTTGTAAATCGGATCATATCCCTTTATACAAGGGGGGTCAAAACTTTAAACATGTGTATTGAAACTAGGACATTTTCAATTTAATTTTTGAAAGTTTTCCAGAAATACTGACACTTTTATATATATCTTAAATTAAAGCTTATGTAATATACTTTAATTTGAAAAAAAAAAATTTGACCTCTGGACTTGTCTTCATGGTGAAAATGACTACCGTATGCAAAAATATGCTATTTTTGTGAAAAAATTCTTGATATTATATTTTACATTTTTTAACATTATGTTGCTATAACTTTTTAAAAAATGCATGAATCAACTTTATTCTTTAATGATAAATACTTTATATATACTTCTTTCATTCGACATACTTTTTTTTAAAATCGGACCATTTCCCTTTATACAGGGGGGGTGCAAACCTTTTAAAATGCGTATAGAAAGTAGAACTTTTTCAACTTAACTTTTGAAAATGTTCCGGAAAGACTGACACTTTTATATATATCTTAAATTAAAGCTTATGTAATATACTTTAATTTGAAAAAAAAAAATTTGACCTCTGGACTTGTCTTCGTGGTGAAAACGGACATCAAAGTTAAAGAAAAACGTACGATTTCCGTGAAAAAAATCTCGATTTTATATGTTATATTATTTAATTTATATTTTATATAACTTTTGGAAAAATGTATGGATCAATATTATTATTTTTTTATAATAAATATTTATATACCCCTTTCATCTGGCACGCTTTTTTTGTAAATCGGATCATACCCCTTTAACAAGGGGGGTCAAAACTTTAAACATGCGTATTGTTACTACGATATTTTCAATTTAATTTTTGAAAGTATTCCGGAAATACTGACACTTTTAAATATATCTTAAATTAAAGCTTATGTAATATACTTTAATGTGAAAAAAAAAAATTTGACCTCTGGATTTGTCTTCATGGTATAAAAGACTACCGTATTCAAAAATGTGCTATTTTTGTGTTAAAATTCTGGGTTTTGTATTTTATTTTATTTTAAAATACCTGACAAGGGGAGTACAGATTTTCATAAATATTATATAAATTAAAATTGATATAGTATAGATAGTTAAACTTATTTAAATATGTTTGTTTNATAGCATAGATTCTATGCTATATTTCTATGCAGCGTTTCTCAAACTGTGGGTCGCGACCCCTTGGGGGGTCGTGAGTCAATTTTTGGGGGGTCGCGAGAAGTTGTTTTAACTATACAGATTGTAAGAAATTTATTTTTTTTTAATTGTATAGACTATACTACTATGGAACTATAATAGAAGTATAAAGTAATATAAGAACTATAAGGACGGGTATTTTTGGTACGTCGTTATCGCAGAAATATTTCGATAAAATATGACGATAAAGACGTACTCGGTAAATTTTATAGACAACTGTTGTCTATAAAATTTCAGTTAGCCGTTAGTCGTTACGCTGTATCATCGCCGGCTTGTAATTTTAGTTCATGTGTCGTGAACGTGTATGAGTGTGTTGTACCGCGTGCGTTCGATTTGGTGCGATCGATTGCTTGGTGTTATTGTGCGCGATATTTCTGAGACAGATTATTTACAAAAATTATATGATGTATAAATGGTTGGTAAATAATCGAGAAGTTGAAACTGATGAAAGTGAACCTTCAACTTCGATTTTAAAACGAAAAAAAAAGACAAGAAAGTATGATTCAGAGTACCTAAAAATTGGTTTTTCTTGGAAAGAAGATAATGATGAACAACGACCACAGTGTGTAATTTGTTTTGAAGTACTTGCAAACGAGAGTATGCGTCCGAATAAATTACGTCGGCATATTAAGACTAAGCATCCTGATCTGATAGATAAACCACTCTCTTATTTCGAAACAAAGTTGAAAGAACTGAACACATCCAAAACAAAAATTACACAGTTCACCAAGTTCAATGAAAAAGCTATGCACGCTTCGTACCTGATAAGTTTACGAATCGCAAAAGCTGGCAAACCACATACTATCGGAGAGAATTTAGTATTGCCAGCAATAAAAGATACAGTTGGAGTAATGTTTGGTGACAAGTTCTCAAAAGACGTCGAAATGATACCACTATCAAATGATACAGTTACACGTAGAATTAATGACATGTCTCAATGGACAGAAAATCGGCTGATTGAAAGAGTCAGTAAAAGTAGATTTTTCTCACTACAACTAGATGAATCTACCGATGTTCAAGGTTTATGTCAGCTGCTTGTATTCATTCGTTATATATGGAACAACGGACCACATGAAGATATGTTATTTTGTGAACCAATTATACGTGGTACTAGTGAGGAAATATTCAATACCCTCAATACTTATATCAATAAAAAAGGTCTTGATTGGGTAAAATGTATCGGATTATGTACAGACGGTGCTAGAGCTATGTGTGGTAAAAATAGTAGTGTTGTAACTCGAATGCTTGAAGTTAGTCCGAATGCATCATGGACTCACTGCAACATTCACAGGGAAGTTTTAGTATCGAAAAATCTTCCGGATAACTTGAAAATCGTGTTGAACACTTCTGTGAAAATAGTCAATTTCATTAAGACAAGGCCATTGCAATCACGATTATTTGAAAGGTTGTGTGAAGAGATGGGAAGTTCTCATAAATCTCTTCTTTTGCACACTGATGTACGTTGGCTTTCAAGAGGAAAAGTACTAACAAGACTTGTGGAACTCCGTGAAGAAGTTGCACTGTTTCTTAAAGAAAAAACTGATCTGGCAAAATCGTTACACAATGAAGATTTCATTTTGAAGCTCACGTATTTAGCCGACATATTTTCGAAACTGAACGAACTAAATTTATATTTACAAGGAACAGAAAGAGCCGATATATTTGCGGTCCATGAAAAAATTAGAGGTTTCATAAAAAAACTTACATTATGGCAAAATAACATTGAAAAGCAAAATTATGATTGTTTTGAAACATTTCAAACTTTCATAACCGAAAATAATATAAAAGTTCCCGATGACATAATTAACCAAATCACTTTGCATTTAATTTCATTGAAAGATAACTTTAAATTATACTTCTTTGAAGAAATAGAAAAATATCAAAAAAAAAACTGGGTTGTGAATCCGTTTCAGGACGCCACACTCACAGGAATCTCAACAAAAGCTGAAGAAGAACTCATTGATTTGTCTGAAGATGCATCATTAAAACTTAAATATAGCCGCAATCATTTGATTGAGTTGAACTCCAAGATCAGTAGTTAATCTGTCGTAGGTAAAGATGAATGGCATCTCCAGTTACTGAATTATTTATGGCTGATCATGCATCATGAAATTTCATTTTCATGTCTTTATTTTATTGATCCTTAATTTGTAAAAAAAAAATGTCTTCTTTTAGATATTAAAAAATAAATTTTCATAAAATAAAATTATTGTATTTGATGTTACTTTTATTTAAGTAACTTATGAATTGAATAATTTGTTTCCTATTTCACTAACATGATTGGAGATATAGATGATGACAGTATAAAACCAATCAATAGCAGACATCCAAGTTAAAACTGTAATTGATAAAATTATCATAGAATAAATGAATTGAAAACAAAAAAAGATAATAATTAGATTAATCTTACTGAAGTTTATTAAGAATTGCAATTTTTTTTCTAAAGAACAATTTTCCTCCAAAAATGATATATCTTCATGTTAGTTTCTCAGTATAAAATAGTTTTGCACAGAGTAATTTAAATCTAATTTGTAATTTTTTTAAATTTAATTGGCATTTCACATAATAAATGTCATTTATCAGCAGAATCCATGTAACATTTTGCAAAAAAAAATTAGTTTGTCTTTACTTGTTCCAATCCACGAGTATTTAGCATATTTTAGCTAAGGACACCGACTAAAGATATTTCAAAGATATGGACAATATCTGCGATATAACAAAAATATACTCATTAACATTTGGATTTTATATATTATATAAATTTGAGTTAACAATTTTGAAAAAATAAAATAAGAAATCATAAATTTTAACATAAAAATTGCATGTTATTTTATCAACGGCAACAATTTTCACATACAAGATAAGTTGTCGGCACAAAAATTTTTTTTTTAACTTATAGTACATAACATTATTTTAGCATATATTTAAAGCTTGGAATATTTCCGGAACATTTTTAAAACTTAACTTGAAAAAGTTCAATTTTTGTGCAGAAGTTGCTATTTTGAAACCCTCTATAGGTAGATAAAGCGTCACATTTTCAAAAAATTTATATCAAATGAAAGAGAAATATCTATGGTTTCAATTTAAAAAAGAATTCTGATTCGTTCATTTTCAATAAGTAATAGCAATTTTTAGAAAAAAAAGTTTAAAAATGTTGAAATTTATCGATTTTGAAAATGGTAATATTTTGAGGGATTTTCACTATTTACAGGGAACCAAGGCAAAATAAAAATTTTATTGATATGGTCATTTTTAAAAAAGTTATGGTTGTTTTAAGTAAAAAAAATTGAAAAAATATAGAAAATTAGCGATTTTTTAATTTGTAATTATTTTGGAGATTTCCCTCATTTACGAGAAACGAGGGAAATAAATAAATACATCATGGTAAAATTAATACCTTCTCAGCTTCGCATCGAAGCTAAAATGATATGTAATTAGTTTAATCAATTAATGATTTATATATATATATATATATATGTTTTTAGAATTCAGAAATATATTCGTAAATCTTATCAAAGTTCACCTAAATAATTAACGAAGAGAAAATGAAACAATTATTAAAATTAATTATTATTTTGAATTGTTTAACATAACAATTCAAATATATAAATCGCTGTTAAATCTGTAATAAAACTCTCTATATATAACAATTTGTAAATATCAATCTACATTTTTAAATTAAATTAAATGGTTTTGTTCTCTCATCTATTTATTTACTTAAAGCGTATCTATAATCTTTTATTCTTACATTGTGAGTCGTTTCAGTGTCATTTTTACCAACCAGTTCACAATTCTGTCGTAACACAAACAGAAAGGGGGGTAGAGTACTGTATACGACAATGATATTAAGTCTGCTGTTTAGGTATTCATGTACACGTGATCATACAGCAGTTACCGTGCTCGGCTGACACTCCGGATTAGCTGTTGGTGTCGAAAGGCCGTTGATATAGGAAGGGAATAAGGGTAACATCTAGGTAAGAGGTGCAGACGAAGTGCAAGACACAAGTACTCTGAAATGTAGAGGACAAGAATAAGTAGTTGAAAAAAGGAAAAACAATGACTTGACTTTATGCAATAAGCCGGACAGCGACAACCCAGTACAGAGACTGATGAATGACACAAAGCACTGGAATCGACTGATCACGATGGCTAGGTCTTCATTCTTTATTTTACAAACATAAAATTGTATTGTAATTGAATGAAATAAAATTTTCCTAATAACAAATTATCATTTTGTTGATATTTTCACATTGTAAGTTTAAAACTTTATTAATAATTTATATTTAATAAAAGAGGGATACTATTGAATGCGATTTGAGGACAGCTNATAAAAGAGGGATACTATTGAATGCGATTTGAGGACAGCTGATGTGAGCGTAGAAGATGAGGGAGATCGTGTCAAGTGGAAGCTTAGGATAAGGG